ACCAAAGAGGTCAACATACCCCTGGCTGTCGAAGGTGGCTCCACTGCCTCTAGTTGTAGCCGCTCGAACTCTCGAAGGAGGACATCTTGCTCGGTAAAGAGACAGGACAACTGGCCATAACTCCTCCGACTAAGGGCATCGGTTACCACGTTAGCTTTCACCGGATGGTAGCTAATTGTGCAATCGTAGTCCTTGACCAGTTCCAACCACCTACGCTGCCGCATATTCAGCTCTTTCTGAGTGAAAAATATACTTTAGGCTCTTGTGGTCGGTAAAAATCTCACACTTGCCTCCATAGAGGTAGTGTCGCCAAATCTTCAAGGCGTGAACGACTGCAGCTAACTCAAGATCGTGAGTGGGGTAGTTCTGCTCGTGAGGCTTCAGCTGCCTCGAAGCATAGGCTTCGACCCTCCCCTGCTGCATAAGGACACATCCCAAACCCATCTTCGAAGCATCACTATAGATGGTGAACTCCAAAGTGGGGTCGGGAATGGATAGAACGGGCGCGGTAGTGAGTCTCTTCTTCAACTCCTGGAAACTCTCCTCACACTTAGGACTCCAATCGAACCTCACGACCTTCTTCGTAAGGTTAGTTAGTGGCTGGGCTATCTTCGAGAAACCCTCGATAAACTTCCGGTAGTATCCTGCTAACCCCAGGAAACTACGAACATCAGCGGCACTTCTTGGCGTATCCCACTTGCTCACTGCCTCGATCTTGCTGGGATCCACCTCAATGCCTCTCGCTGTCACAATGTGGCCAAGGAATGCCACACGATCCAGCCAAAACTCGCACTTTGAGAACTTAGCATACAGCTTCTCGCGGCGAAGTGTCTCCAGCACAATTATCAGATGCTCCTTGTGCTAGTCGATGCTCCGAGAATAAACTAAGATGTCGTCGATGAACACGATAACAAACTGGTCCAGGAAGGGATGAAAGACCCTATTCATAAGGTCCATAAAAATGGTCGGGGCATTGCTGAGTCCGAACGGCATGACTACAAACTCATAGTGGCCATAACGGGTACGGAAGGCAGTCTTAGAAATATCCGACTCCCGAATCTTCAGTTGATGATAGCTAGAACGCAAATCGATCTTCGAAAATACACTGGCTCCTCTCAACTGGTCGAAGAGATCTTCAATGCGAGGAAGGGGATACTTGTTCTTGACTGTAAGGGCATTCAACTCCCGATAGTCAATACACATGCACATCGATCCATCTTTCTTCTTCACGAATAGGACGGGCGCTCCCCACGGCGAAACACTCGGACGAATAAAACCAAGATTGAGCAACTCCTGGATCTGGGCCTTGAGCTCTTGAAGCTCCTTTGGCGCCATACGATAAGGGGCCTTAGAAACAGGGTCGACTCCTCGTACTAGATCAATGGTAAACTCCACTTGGCGGTCGGGCGGTCCTCTGGGCAATTCATCAGGAAAGACATCGAGATACTCGCAGACAATAGAGACTCTCTCCGGGGACCTCTCAGAATCGTCCTCGGATACCATAGAAACCCGATAGCCTTGACAGCTACCCTTAGAAAGGCTCTTCCTAGCTTGCATGGAAGAGATGACTCGAGGCACAGTCCTCGACTTCACCGCATAGAAAATAACAGGCTGATCGGAAACAGGGAAGAGAGTGACTTCGCGCTCCTGGCACCAGATATCGGCTCGATAACGAGTGAGTCAGTCCATGCCCAAGATCACATCAAAGTCCCGCATTTCAATAACATAACAATCGACCTCCAAAACACGCCCACCAATACTTACTTGAAGACCACGAATCAAAGAATCGGAGATAATAATTTTTCCCGAGGCTAGACTAACCTCGAGAGGATCACAGTTGCACACAT